CGAGAACAGATGACTGGTTAAAGAAACTTTGGTACATATACACAATGGAATACTATGCAGCTGTTAGAAAAGATGAAGTCATGAAATTTACATACAAGTGGTACTACATGGAAAGTATCATTCTAAGTGAAATGAGTCAGGAAGAGAGGGACAGACATAGAAAGATTGCATTCAGCTGGGGAATATAAAGTAACAAAATAGGAGACTAACATCCAAGAATAGTCAAGCTAAGTACCAGGAGATTCGCTCCATGGCTTGAAAGCCAGATGCACATGCTAGGGGAAAAGGCAGCTCAGATAGAGAAGAGAACAACAAGTAAAGGGTGTTGGGAGGATCCTCCCAGGATAGGAGAAGCATGCTGAAAGTAAACTATAGACCGAACATGATTGCCACTCAAAAACTCTTTTGCAAACCTCAGCACCCAAAAGGAGAGAGAGAACAAAAGGGAATGCCCTGCCACAGAGGCGGGATGGGATGGGGGGATGGGGAGGTGGGAGGGATACTGGGATCATTGGTGGTGGAGAATGGGCACTGGTGGAGGGATGGGTACTCAATCATTGTATAACCAAGCACAAAAACTTGTAAGTCTACAACTATACCTCATGGTGTTTCATGAATAAAAATTTAAAAAGAAAAAGTTAACATTCATTGCCCATACAATAAAAATGGAATAAAAATCTACCGGGGGGAGGGGGAGGCATACAGTATATCTGCGCTGATAACAAAGTTGTAGAAAATCTGCCTTGCAGGTGAAAGCCACGAGTTCAAATGTCAGCAGGGGACAAGCCAGTGTGATCCTACAGTAGTACCACCAGTATCCCTGTGCCACAACCAAGGTGTGCAGCATAGGCTTGTGTGTGATAATTATAGGAATCTCAACTATACCACAGCAAAGGGAATGAGGGTGGAAAAATTCTTTTAATGAAAGAATAATATCACTTCCTGTAAAACGTATGAAGTGGGGTTGGAGCAATAGTACAGTTGTATTGCACGTGGTCAACCCAGGTTTGGTCTTCAGCATCTCATATGGTCCCCTGAGCCAGCCAGGAGTGACTCCTGTGTTCAGAGCCAGGAGTAACACCCTGTGCATCACCAGGTGTGAACGCCCCCAAAATCAAAATAATATCAAATGAACAAAGAGAGAACAATTTTTCCTCACTGGATTCTAAAAATAAATGGAGATGTTATGGAGATACTACACTGTGGCAATAGTTTCTACAGGCAGGATCTAATATTGTATGTTAAAAATCAGCGGATAATCAGAAGGAAAATACCTGCATAAACACCTACAGAAACACAGAAACACATACAGAAACACACACACATGTTTTAGGGTCATATCTGGCAGTGCTCGGAGCTTACTCCTGGCTTTGTACTCAGGGATCACTCTTGGTAAGGCCTGAGGGACCATATGGGGTGAAAAGGATCATACCCAGGTTGGCAGTATACAAGGCTTATCCACTGTACTATCCACTGTACTACTGCTACAGCTCTGCCCCCAAATATTTAATAATCACAAAGGAAAAAAGTAGTACATAGTTGGGAATCCTGGCAGATACCACCTTAATCAAGAATTCAAGGTCAATATCAAGTACTACTATCAAAACATCACTATAGCCTCAGATATGATGATGCACTCAGGCACATCACCTCTGTAGTACACTTAACAACCATTTTTAACCAAAGAAGAGAAAATATCACACAAACCCAAATAGAGGAACAGTTAAAAAAATAATTGGTCTTCCCTTTGCAAATGTCAAGGTTATACAAGACAAGGAGACAAGGGGTGAAGAAGCTTGACCAATTCAATGGGACTATTACACAGGAAAAGGAAATAAGTGAAATAACTGATGAAATCTCAACAAATTCTGTACTTAACAGTACTGGAAACAAGAAGAATTTCTTAGTTTTTGATCACTCTTTAATGGTTACATAAGAGTTAACAAAAGAAACTCGTTTACGAGTATGTAAGGACTCTCAAGACCTTTGCATCTCTTTTGTAAATCTAAAATTATCTCAAAATAAAAAGTTAAATAATAGGACCATCTGTAGGTTTTTAATTATAAGGTATCAAGAGTGCTGTTGTTTGGTTCAAGTGTGACGAACTGGAAAAAGCACTAGACCAACAGTTCAGCATACCCCTGCCAGTGGTGTTGAGCTTTGAGAGAATCACATGCCCTCCCTGAACCTCATGTTCCTGTACCAAATGGGCATGACGTGCAACTCAACGTCCACAACTTACTTAATGGATTCAAAGATACAACTGTCCAAGTTGTCCAGAAATAATTAAGCTTGTTTGTGAACAAAACAATATTTGTTTTGGGGCCACACCAGGCAGTACTCAGAGACCATCACAAGCTCTGCATTCAGGCATCACTCTTGGCTATACTCAGGGTACCATATGGGATGCAAGGGATCAAACATGAGCTGGTTTGGGGGGCTGGAACAATAGCACAGTGGGTAGGGCGTTTGCACGCAGCCAATCCAGGTTGGAATCCATGCATCCCATATAGTCCCCCAAGCACCACCAGTAGTAATTCCTGGGTGCAGAGCCAGCAGTTCGGCTGGTCACAATGCAAGGCAAGAGCACTACCTGCTGTTCCAACCCCAAGAATTTCTTGGGAGAGGAGAAAACACTATGAAAGGAAAATCTTTCCAAGAATAAACTTCAAAATACTGGGGCTGGAGAGATAGTACAACAGGTAGGATGCTTTTCTTGCAAATGGCTGACCAACCCAGGTCCAATTCCCTGGTATCCCGTATCATACGTCCTCCAAGCACCGCCAAGAGTAACCCCTGAACACTGCCAGGTATGACCAAAACACACACAAATACACACAAAAGAGAGAGAGAGAGAGAGAGAGAGAGAGAGAGAGAGAGAGAGAGAGAGAGAGAGGAAAAAAACACCTACAACTAAACAGTGGGCTGGAGAAAGGGTTAAGATGCTTGTCTTACATACATCTAACTCGGATTTGATCCCCCGCCCCACTTATATTCCTGACTACTCAGAAGTGACCTCTGAGCACAGAACCAAGAGTAAGTCCTGAACACAGCTGGGTGTAGCACCAAAACACACACACACACACACACACACACACACACACACACACATATACACAAACACCCAAATAACTAAATATTAAAGTACTGTTAAGATGAAAGGGAAAACCAAACAAATAACCAAAAAAGTATCACTCAGCAAAGGGGAAAAAGAAAAAAAAAAGCAGGAGCTGTTGAGGTTCAGGAAGTGCAAAAAAGTAGAACAAGCAGAGTAGAAAGATTGACTGGAAATATGACCACAGGCCCAACAAAATGCAACTTTCTTCATTATAGGATAAGTGCTTTTGAACACTCATCGTGTCCTTTTGCCACAAGTTTTTGTCATTTTGTGAAATCTTTTGCCATCTTTAATTAGAAAAAAAAGGAAATTTTATAGAACTGTTACAGTAACACTGTTTCAGATGCTTACTTTGTAGAAGCTTAGATTTGTTTTTGCTTTTTTTGAGAAAGAATATAATTCAAGTAGGATAGGTTCCTAAAGTGCCTGAGAACAGTTAAAGGTTAGGTATTCCTGGGGCCAGAAAGATAATACAGCAGATAAAAGTGTTGTACACTACTGACCTAGGTTCGATTCTGGGCACCCCATACTGTCTGCCTGCTGGGAGTGATCCCTGAGCAAAGAGCCAGGAATAAGTCCTGAGCATTATTGGGTGTGGCCCAAAATTAAAACAAACCCCCAAAAGGAAGCATTCCTAATTGTATGTTATATGAGAGAAAAAGAAAATTAAAAATAAAAATACAAAATTTAATATACCAACAACATTTCCGTACCATTCTGGCAATATCTAGGATTCAAGTTCATGAAATTCCAAGCAAAGGCTAAGAACATTTTTGATTAAAGAGAAGATATCACTTTACCCAAAGACAAAGGATACCCCAAAATGCTGTTACACAAATGACCAAGAGAATCTCATTATTAAATCAGACATGCTAAAGCCTTTTATGACAAATTTCCCCACTTCAAATTAATAGTCTATTCATACATTTCCTTAAATTGGTAACAGTAATTTCCCATATTTTGAAAACAAAATATTAAAGTATATGGCAAATCACTTGGCTTTACAAAAATACAAAGTAGCAGCTAAGACAACAAGAGATTCAGAGTGGAGTGAATCACACTTGTTCATGCGCTCTGAAGAGGCACATTAAAAATCCACCAATAGGAGCTAGAAAAATAGCATAGTGGGTAAGGTGTTTCATGCACTCAGCCTACCTGGGTCCGAGTCCCAGCATCCCATATAGTCCCCTTAACACCGCCAGCAGTAATTCCTGAGTGCAGAGCCAGGAGTAACCCCTGTTCATCGCTGGGTGTGACCAAATAAATAAATAAATAAAAATCCACCAATAAACTGGGGAGAAATTAGAAGCATAGGCTATTTTCACCAACGCCTGAGGGCCACTCAATGTAATGGAATGAACAAAAGGCTTCACAAATGCAAAGCCTCTATTCTACCACCTGACCCAGAGCCCCAACCCCCATCCATGCAAATCAATTATTACAATGATTTGCTCCCAGTACTAAAGTTTTAAAAAGCTTACATTAGTTTTATCTAATACAATGTAGAGATAGGAGAAACAGATTAAACATAACAATCATACTGATGTGCAAAAATAAACATCTGCAGTGGTTAAAAAAAAATACAATCACATCAAAAAGAAATGAATATGAAAACAATTGCATCTAACAGAAAAGGAACTTGATATTTTTAAACTACTAATAACCACACAATGTCAGTCAACAAATGCTAAGTTTTTGCTTCTAAATTACAGTACTTAAAATTTCCAAATAACTTTCAAGAGAAAGAACATATACATGATGGAGATTATTAGAAAGTGTAACATCCCCATGGATTCACCAACAGTCTTAGCTCAACAGGCTATCATATATAAGCAATGAGCAGGGGAAGGGTCCCACTATTAATAAACTACAGAGGCAAAGAATTTTCTTAAGTTCATTTTATTAACAAAAGTGCTAACTATTTTGAACAAAAGCAAACCATGGATCACAACATTCTGCAAGACATTAGATTTGGAGACATGAACAATAGTCATTAAATAAAATATAAAGAGTTGAGCTGTCTCGTGTGTATATTCATGTTTTTTAAATAATCTTTGTCAACTTTCAGTATAATTTTTACAAAGTATAGTGGCTAAAACACAAATGCAGCAACACAATGGCAAGGTTTGGCAATTATTTTGGGGCAACTGAGAGAAAATGAAAGTAGACCTTATACCACAGATCCATGTAAATTACTGCAAAATACGTATGAATCTTTAAATAATATCAACACCAAAATAGATGTCTGACTATTGAAAATAATGGACTGGGATTTTAGCACATTTGTTGTACTACAGTTGTTTAGAAGGAGGCAAAAATCATTTAAAATGATATTCCATGTGTTCAGAAAACTATTAACTGGTTCATATTAACTTAAATCACTTATATTACATTTATCAAAGCCACACAAAAGATTACATGCCGTTAATCAGTGTGTTTGCACTTGAACAAACAAGAAAAGATAAATAAATAAACTAGTCAGTTAACATACTCTGGTGAGATTTTACCAAAGAGGTGATTAGACCTCGTATTAATCTTCTGTTACCTCAGTAAAGGCTCTATAATGCAGAATCTACTCCTAGAGTATTCTGTCCACAAATGTACAGGCATTAAAGAAGCTGCAATATATGACTAAAACCCTAAATACATCATTTAAATACAATTGCATGTCTAGTTAAGGACAGAAGAGCACCTAAACTGAGCAAATTACTGAGGCATGCACTGTCTCTAGGTACATTTTCTGGCAGTATCTGTCCTACTGTTGACAAAACTGCCCTTTTTGAATATACTAATTTACTCAATTAGCTGAGAACTATACTTATTTCATTATATTACACAGAATTCTCCCACACCATTTGTTTTTCCTATGCAGGAATGTCATATACTGGGATTATGCTATTTTCTAATAGCTACTTTTGAACAAGTATTAGCACAGTAGAAGATGCTGAAAAAAATAGGCCAAATCTGATTATCTGATGACAAATTTAGACATATAAGAAATTTAAGGGTACTGATAGCTAGCAAGTCAATTCTCTTGATTTGAAAATTACCTTCCATTGTTTTCATCAGCATTAAAGCTGAGATCTTCAGGGCCTATTTGTTCACCATCAGGAAAATTGGAATGTGTATCTGAAAGAAAAAAAAAAGAAAAAAAAGAAAATGGACAGTTTAAACTAATATTTTCTTTTCTGTGTCTTTAATGGTCTTACCATATGTGATGTAAGTAATTAAAGATGTACTTTTTGCTAGGTTGTGAACAAATATCCTTCATTAGAGAATTTATGAAGCAAGAACATAAAGGAAAAATAAAGAAAAGAACAAAATATACACCAGATTGCCATACTCAGATGATGAAAGGCTCTGCCTCACTCTTTCCTCCTGGGGACACTGTGGGGGTAGCTGGGGGAGGGAAGAGGAATACATGGCTTGTATACAAAAGTACACTCCAAAGACTGAATTTGTAAATATAAAATGGTTTTGAAATTGCACATCCACAAAAACCTAATCAGCCACACAAATTAATTTGCCCAAAACTTAGTGGCTGCTTTGAAAAGTGAAGAAACTTACTAAAGTATCTTACTACTTGAGTCATCAAATATATTTAAATCTCTGTATTAAAAAAGAGACCAGAGTATCAGGGAAACATGTAAAATAACAAACTGACAATTAGTGTTAAGACTGACAGTTGTCACTACAAGAAATTGGGCAAAGAAAGCATAGTCTCTAAATGAAACATTCCGAATGGTAGATAAATGTGAACTGAACATCCATCATTCCACAGTATGTAATACACCAAATCATTATGCTGAATACTGAAAGCAAAACAAAAATATAAATGGTGGGGTTTTTAATGGTATATTTATTTCCCTGGGGCTTTTTCTAAAAGATGGAATAAAAAAATGGTAATTCTTGGGACTGAAGAGATAGTAAGGGGAACAGGGTGCTTGCCTTGCATGTAGGCAACCTAGGTTCAATTCCCAGCACCTTGCATGGTCCTTCAAGTTTCTCCAGGAGTGATCCTTGAGTACAGAGCTAGCAACAGTGCCAGGTGTGGTCCCCCCAATACCTTCCAAACAAACAAAAACTGGTAATTCGTGATCTGCAAGCATTTCTATTCAGGAAATGATAGGTTTTAATATATTATCTTATAACTAGACTACTACTAGGGCGTTTGCCTTGCACGCAGCCAACATGGCCAACCTGAGTTCGATTCCTCCGCCCCTCTCAAAGAGCCCAGCAAGCTACCGAGAGTATCTCGCCCGCACGGCAGAGCCTGGAAAGCTACCCGTGACGTATTCGATATGCCAAACACAGTAACAACAAAGTCTCCAATGGAGACGTTACTGGGCCCATTCGAGCAAATCGATGAACAACGGGAGGACAGTGACAGTGACAACTAGACTACTATAAGTAGTTTTGAAAATAAAAGGCACTACAAGCCACAAATGGTCCCTGCTGAAAATTCTGAAGTTCTTTTCCTCACCTAAAAAATTCCTGGGCCAGAGCCCTAGTAGAGCAGGGTGAATATTTGGTTGTATGCAGCCAACCTGGGTTCAATCTCCAGTATCCTATATGGTCCCCTGAGCACTGCCAGGAGTAAATCCTGAGTGCAGAGCCAGAAGTAGCCCCTGAGCATTGCCGTGTGTGACACAAAAAGGAAAAAAAAAATTCCTCACAGGGGCTGGAGTGACTGCATGTACGCGGCTGACCCAGGTTTGATCCCCAGCATCCCATATGATCCCCCAAGACCCACCGGGAGTAATTCTGAGTGTAGAGCCAGGAGTAACCCCAGAGCAACACTGGGTTATGACCCAAAAAAACAAACAAGAAAACTCCTTACAATATAAAAGCTATTAGGTCTCAGTACATACAAAAATGGATTGCTGACCCCTGTCTCATTTGTTACATGTACCCATTAAGTGTCTGACTAGACTTATATTATTTTTTTCACCATGTAATGTAGTTTATCCCATAGAATACTGTCTCACAAACATCAGTAATCAAGAGGATTACTGATATTTACCCAGTGCTAGAGCAACAGGACAGTTGGTAAGGCACTTGCCTTGCATGCTACTGACCTGGGTTTAATCCCCAGCACCTCCTTTGTTCCCCAAGTACCACCAGGAGTGCTACCTGAGCACAGAGGCAGGAGTAAGCACTGAGCAAGGCTGGGTGTGGTCCCCAAACAAAAAGAAAGCAGAGCAAAAGGGCAAAAATGGAAATAGAGGTAAAAGCAGAAGCAAAAGGATGGCTCTACTGATCTCTGTGACATGACATCATGTGCCTCACCTTCATCTGGGGGCTGTGCTATGAAAGCGTCATTGAATCCACCCATGCTGGTGTGCTCTTCCTGCTCTTCATTTTCAGTGTCACATTCAATATCACTGTCGCTGCTCATTCCTAACAGAAAAGAAGGCAAGAACATGTTTCTGAGAAGAAAGCACTGCAAGAACATGGAAAAAGGAATTTCCTTACCTACTAAACTGAGATTTTCATTAATTTTACACTGAATACCAGGATAATATAAGGTGCAATGAAACATTAACCTCACACAAACCTCAGCATTTATTGGTCATTAAGAGTATTGATTTGGGGGCTGGAGCGACAGCACAGCGGGTAGGGCGTTTGCCTTGCACGCGGCCAACTTGGGTTCGATTCCCAGCATCCCATACGGTCCCCCAAGCACCGCCAGGAGTAATTCCTGAGTGCAGAGCCAGGAGGAACCCCCGTGTACTACCAGGTGTGACCCAAAAAGAAAAAAAAATAGAATATTGGTTTTATTTTAACTCTCAAAGATAAAAATCCTTTTTTATAGTACCTGAAAATTACAATTTGAAACTAGTAACAATTTAATTGTGCCAAGAAAGATTTTCAAAGCAAAAACATTGTCTTTTTCTGGAGTCATAGAAGATAACAGAAATTCTTTAAATCCTGGTTGTGATACAAGTGAACCCCCTTTATCACTGAGAACTCTGGGTTTCACCAGACCAGGAATGGAGATCATCTGCTAGTATCCCAGTCTCTGACAACTCAGCAGTCATGCTCATAAGCCTCCTCTGACTAGCGCCAGATAATCTCCTCATCGGCCACCATCCAGACTGCATGCACTTCTCTCCCAGAAGGGAGTATAGCATGACGCTTGCCATAGCCATGCCGCCACACTCCGCATCAGACTGTTTCACTGGGGCGCCCTGGGAAGGTGAGAGCCCTCCCCACCCCAAGGGACCCAAGCCCTGGCACCCAAAACTCAACCGCCAGAACTCAACCGCCGCCACGCTCACGGGCCACTCTCCACACGCTCCTGATGAGCCACACTCACTAATGAACCTATTCCTGGACCAAGAGGCCAAGACACTGTAAGACACACCCTACCCATACTCCAAGAGTACCAAACCACGTTTAATGGATTTCAAAGTAGTAGGTAACCAATCTCAGAGGGAATTATTTTTTTTTTACAGCTATATGTATAAAACACACGAGGCTCTACCTTTAATAACATGTTAGTGATCTTCTTATAGAAGGGCCTAATGGTCCCTGGGGATATACAACTATCTTCAAACTCTTTCCTCTAAGAATACTTTTCCATAGCATTTTCAGTGGTTCTTCATAACAAAAATACAAAACTGTATTATTTCAGTTCTGCTTTGGGACAGGGACTGGGGTTCAGGATGGAAACATCCAAAATATAGTAGTGGGAAGGTGTAATGGTGGTGGAATTGGTATCTGAATATTAAATGTAATCAAATATTATGAACTACTTTATAAAATAAAATTTAAAAAAATCCTGGTTGTGATATAATCTGTAGCCAAAGCATTTACCAATAGAGGCATGTTACATAAGTACACATACAAAATATATTTTGTGTATATGTAAAAACATTACAGTAATACTAGCATAAAATGTGACTTGGGCTTCTGATTTTGTTTGTGGTTCTATCAGTTGATTTTTTTCTAGGCAGTGGACAGAACTCATGATCCAGTTGTTTATGAACTCTGAAAAGTACAGAACAACACACCAGAGTGTAGTCCGAATATTTTTTTTTTCTTTTTTGGGGCATACCCAGCAATGCTCTTGGATTACTCCTGGCTTGGCACTCAGGAATTACTTCTGGCAGTGCTCAGGGGACCATATGGGATGCCAGGGATCGAACTTGGGTCGGCTGCCTGCAAGGCAAATGCCCTACCCACTGTGCTATCACTCAGGCCCCTGTAGTTCTGAATGACATATCATCAGGCAGTTTAAACAATACCCTGTCTCACAAAAAAATATTTTTCCTGGTTTGGAGAGGTAGTACCGGGGGGGGGGGGGGGGGGAGGAGAGTACTAGACCCTGAACCGATTGTTCAGGGTCTTGACGAAGAAATCTGACCATCTCATAGGTGGGCGGACACTTGGTCTTTTGATGTCCCGTGGAATTCAGTCGATAACGGCTCTAGTCCAACGGTCATCTCCAAATCTCGTTACATGTCCAGCCCATCTGATTTTCTAAGCCTTGGCAAACGAGACAGCGTCCCTGATTCTTGACTGTCGACAGAGATCGGAACTCCAAATTCTTTCTCTCATTTGAGTGAAGTGTGATACTCCAAGCATAGTTCTTTTGATTCTTCTCTGGGAGACCTGAATAGCGTTCTCATCCTGTTTTCATAGGACCCAGGTCTCTGAGGCGTATGTTGATGCAGGAAGAACAGTGGAATCAAAGAGATGTGCCCAGAGCAAGAGGTTCTTCGTCCTCTTAGCTATTTCTTCGATGCTCTGGAAGGCATTCCAAGCTGCTCTCCTCCTCCTGCGCAACTCAGGTGCCAGGTCATTCGTCATGTTGACCTCTCGACCTAGGTACACATAACTGTTGCATTCAGAGATGGTCTTTCCATTGAGATGGAACGTCAGGAATGAGACTGTTTCTCATAAACATTGTCTTCGTAAGATTCAGCTGTAGTCGGACCTTTCCACACTCACGGTCGAAGTCGGCCAGCATCTGTGCCGCTTGGCTAATGTTTGCTGTTATTAGAAAGATGTCATCAGCAAAGCAGAGGTGGTGTAGTTGCCAACCGTCTATCTTCACTCTCATTACTTCCCATTCCGGTCATCGCAAGACGTTTTCGAGGGTGGCACTGAAGAGTTTCGGTGAAATGGTATCACCCTGCTGAACTCCCCTCTTAACATCAATGATCACTTCTTTGTAGAATGGTGCGATCCTGGTAGTGAATCTATAATAGAGCTCATGGAGGATCCTGATGTATTGAGTTTGAATGCCCTGATTGGCTAGGATTTCGAAGACTGCTTCTGTCTCAACAGAATCAAAGGCCTTCTTTAAATCAATGAACGTTAGAGTGGCATCTTGAACTCCCGAGAAACCTGGATGAGCTTGGTTATCGTGTGGATATGGTCGATCGTGCTGAATCCTTTGCAGAACCCAGCTTGCTCGCATGGTTGTCCTTCCTCTAGTGTTCTGCCAATCCTATTCAGGATGACTCAAGTGAACAGATGACACTTCCACATATAGGGAAATTATCAACAAATATGAACGCTGAAATAATAGATATTAAAGTGATCTAACAGAAGACATTAATACAGATATAGAAATGTTTGCAAACACCCTTGGAACAAACAAAAATCCTCTTTAGTGACAAACTTCCACAATCTAGGTAATAAGAATTTTCAAAGGATAAAAATATGAAGACTGGGGCTGGAGCTATAGCACGTGGGTAGGGCGTCTGCCTTGCATGTGGCTGATCCGGATGGGATGGGATGGGATGGGATGGGATGGGATGGGATGGGATGGGATGGGGGAAGGGGGAAGGGGGAAGAGGGAAAGGGGAAGGGGGAAGGGGAAGGGCGAAGGGGGAAGGGGAAGGGGAAGGGGAAGGGGAGGGGAAGGGGAAGGGGAAGGGGAAAGGGAGGGGAAGGGGAGGGGAGGGGAAGGGGAAGGGGAAGGGGAAGGGGAAGGGGAAGGGGAAGGGAAAGGGAGGGAAGAAAGAAAGAAAGAAAGAAAGAAAGAAAGAAAGAAAGAAAGAAAGAAAGAAAGAAAGAAAGAAAGAAAGACTGACTTTCTGTGCCTATACTGCTGCAAGGATCCCAGCCAGTCAAGGACACTGGTTTTCAATCCTTTCCTGAACACCCCCCATACCCCCAATGAAATGCTTTGATATCCCCTGTGCCCCCCCCCCCCCGCAAAATAATAAAAAGAATTTTCACAGGGGGAAAAGAAGGTATGTTCCACTCAAAATTTAAAAAGCAAGGCAGACATTTCACCTAAAGTAAGTCAAGCAGGGGCTGGAGCGATAGCACAGCAAATAGGGTGTTTGCTTTGCATGCGGTCAGCCTGGGTTCGATTCCCAGCATCCCACATGGTCCCGAGCACCACCGGGGTATTTCCTGAGTGCAGAGCCAGGAGTAACCCCTGTGCATCGCCGTGTGTGACCCAAAAAGCAAAATAAATAAAAAGTCAGTCAAGCAGATATACAAATGTAAAACCTATACCATGAATAATTCATAAAATAACAACTTGCAAGAATTCAGTTAAACTTGGAAATGAAAACCATTTTTTTCTTCTTATGTTATTTGGGGAGCAACTACATTAAGCACTGCTCAAGAAATACTCCCAGCTCTGTGCTAGGGGGGTGCTCCTGGTAGTGCTCAGGGGACCATGTGTGGGGCTAGAGAACAAACTCCTGCACGCAAAGTAATCCACTGCACTAGCACTCTTGCTCTTCCTAAAACTTCTGAACATGGCTCAGTCACAGAGTGCCTCCTTTGCATGCATGAGGCCCTGAATTTGAGACCTGGGGCCAAGAGTCTGATCTCCAACCATTGTGTGAGTGCTGCAACAGTAGAAGCACCACAAGTGTGACTCCTAACGAAGCCCAACAGACTTCCTAGAAATGAAAGATAAATATTATTCGGGTACAACAGTATAGTAGGTAAGGCTCTTGCCTTATAAACAGGTGACCCGGATACAATCCTCGGAACCACATTCCCCCAAATATGACCAAAAATGATTCCTGGCTTCAGAGCCAGGTATAAGTCTTGATCACAGTAGGGTGTGCCCTCTGCCCAAAAGGGAAGGAAATAAAAGGAAAAAATATTAGCAGGTGAACAAGGGTGTGTGTGGGGATCAATAATATAATAAAGCAGTTCCTTGAAAAGATCAGTAAAGCTGGTACATCTCTAAATCAGTTAAGAACATATAAAAATGATGTATTAATACCAGGAATGAAAGAGGGCAGCATTGCAATTGTTTGTTCATTGCAGCACTCTTTACAATAGCCAGAATCTAGAAAAAACCTGAGTGCCTGAGAACAGATGACTGGTTAAAGAAAGTTTGGTACATCTACACAATGGAGTACTGTGTAGCTGTTAGAAAAGATGAAGTTATGAAATTTACATACAAGTGGTACTAC